GGGTACGGTAAACACGGTGGCGGGTACTACTACTACTACTACTACTACTACTACTACTACTTCTACTTCTACTTCTACTTCTGCTACTACTTCTGCTACTACTGAGACTGCTACTACTAGCCCTGCTGCTACTACTGCTACTACCCTTGCGAGTACTGCTACTGCTGTCCTGAAATAGTGGCAACACCGCGAAGACATGATATCGTTTTGATACCAGGAGTGAAATGACCAGCCATACTTTCGCAAAGGACTGTTTGCATCAGGTCAGAATGTGAGTTACGAGTTGACAGGGTTGGTTCAGACCAGCTCGGCCGGTCAGGCCCACATGTTCCACTTCCTCTACGCAGGCGGCTTTGTAGCATGGTAGGGGTCGCAGGCAGTTGTTGAAACCCGTTACTTGACCTTAAAAAATTCAACCGTCCCGGGAATTGGGCTGGGATTCAGGGCTTGCAAGGCAGTTTTCCTCCTCTTCGTGGTGTCTCTAGCTCCACAGTCCGTGGGCCTGCCGCTTCTTCGTTGTGACGACCTTCCTACCTCCCCATGCCAAAATTCTGTTGATTTCTGTTCCGCACGAAGGACAGACAGCTGGATGTAGTGAGAGAGTTCTTGCTTGAAAGCACCTTGTGATGCTGTGGCTCCTTGCAAGTGATGTCAACGGAACAACCCAGCAAGGCCTCCAGCTGCACACGGACTTGCGTGCCCAGTTCGGCATGTCGAAAGGACCGGGCTTCCGGGCGTCCTAAACCCGAAACCCTGTGCTGTTGTTGGGAGCCTACTGCAGGCGGACGCGAAAGAGTCGAACCCAACTTTAAAAAAAAAACGAAACCCTACACCCTAAACCCTAGATTCAGGCTTTGATTGGAGTGATTGGAGATTATCGCCTTAGGCTTTTGGGGCCTCAAGTTTAGAGTAATGTAGGGGCTTTAATAATTAGAACAGGGTTTTGGGGGGTTTCTTATTATAGTTATAGTAGAATATACCCCCAGACCGTATTCTAGTTGTTATGGCCCCTACATTAGGACCTGAGGCCGATACGAAGGACTTCTCTACGGTGCCTGTGTGCGATTTGAGTCACCCCACAGCTGCAACGATCAGGCGAACTCCACTAAACACCCGTAGACCTACGCCTTAAACTGGCTTCCTAAGTCAATGGCGGTGATGCCTGGAGGATGGGAGGAGCTGAATGCCACAGCCGTTACCTTCCAGGAAAGGGTGTGCCTTGGAAGCAGCGCAAGACAGCCCGGAACGCATGTGTATATATGGATGCGTATTTATGTAGGTCTATATATATATATATACACATGTTTATTATATCTCTCTCTACATATACATGTATATGTGTATGCTAGCCTGCAAATGGACATGTGTTTGAATGTGTGCGTGTGTACATATATATATATATACACAATACCTACATATAGATCTATATATATATATATACATATGTACATACATATATATATATATATATACATATCTACAAATTCGTGTAGATGTTCATTATTATCTCTGGGGAGGGCCTACTTGGTTTCCCTCTCATTTTTCCATACACACACACATATGTATATATATATATACACATACACATACACATACAGTCACATACACATGTCTACATGTATGTTGATGTGCTGATATTTTTGTGCAAAGATAGGTGTGTGTTTGTGTGTGCGTGTACTTTTATGTGCGTAACACACACACACACACATTGTCTCACTTTCACGCCTTCATCGCGCGTATGGCTGCGGGCATGTTTTCGTTATCAGGCTTTGGGTTGTGGGATCTTCCAGCTCAGAGTTTCGGCAGGTGCCTCAACAATTACCTATAGTAGTTTGGGGGGTTCCTTATCATAGTATAATGTACCTTAAAATCCTATTCTAATTATTAAGGCCCCGACATTATCTGCATTTGTTGATGGCTGTTTTCATGGCTGCTGGCACCATGGTGCTCGTCTTTTGCATGTTGCATGCTTTTTCCATTGCTTCTGCTGTTGTACCAGTTTGTTTTTGCAGACATCGGGGCGACGGGCTGTGGATGGGCAGCTGATCTACAGGGCTTTGGAACCATTTGCAGCTCAGCACTTGCAAGTACATGCTAGGAGAGGAAATCGCGAACGCCTGTAGGCTTGTAAGCCTAGCAAAAACCCTGAACAGCCTCCAAATGCTGAGCCCCAAATCAGCTTCCATGAGTTGCTTGATAGCTGCAATTCTTTCCCTCCCCCGATGGACACGTGTGTCCTGCTGCTTTTCTGATTTTGCACCCTGCTTGCCCAGGAGACAAGATCGTGAAAGTGGCCAGAGGCCCAGGAGTGCTCCAACCTGGCAAAGCTGCTGCTTTTGCTGCTGGCGAGCCCGCATACCCTGCATTTTCATTGTGGGAATGGGGCGACCAGACAACAAGAGGCGTGCTGTCATATCGTCACAGCGATATGGAAGCCTCGGAGGAGTAAGATCCAGTATACCGCGTATACCGTAGATAATGACAGCCACAGTGGCAATGCCCAGGAAGAAGCCTACGAGCCTCAACACCCCAAACCCTGCACCCAACCCTGAACTCTAAAGCCCAACCCCTGCCCTAGACCTTCAACCTCTAAACTAAACCGCTAAGCCGCTAAGCCTTAAACGCTTAAACCCATAAGCCCAAAACCAGAAGCTCAGGAAGTAGCTGGCCAGACAAGGGCTGGTACATGCCCGGGCCTTTGTGTTTGCGAGACACGCCGATCCTGCCGTCTCGGCTAAGGGCTTAGGGAATTGGGTTAATTGAAAAAACTGAATTTTATGTTAGCAGTTGTTGTGCGAGTCTGATCGCGACCGTTCTCATGGTAACGGGACCATAATCAGTTGAGGTGTTGGCATGGGTCATGAGGCCCATGGGTCTCCAAAGGTCGGACTTCGTTGTTAAATTAAAGTGGTTCAAGTCAGGCGCAACAACAGGGGCGCGGTAAAGTGAGCGATTTGCATGTGAGTCGCTGCTGTTTAATGCAGTGTTCCCTCGTCGGCATCTTGGTTTGGCTTCTGTGCCCTGTTCAAGTTCTGACCGGATATGTGTGCTGTACTCTGGAGAAGACCGGGCCCATGCCTAAGCCGTAGAGGGGGTCGGAAGCCTCGGTCCTGGTCTCCATTTTCCTGAGATTCTGTCTAGATGCCAAGCCCCGAGACAGACAGTAGGAGCCTGTATGAAGGTACCAGTAGCAAGCAGTTTAGAGCAGCGATTCTGTATCTCTCAAAAACTTCGCCGAGAGTTTGGGTCCAAACTGCGGCATCCTGCGCCTGATGCACAGATGCAAATCTTCGGAACACCATAGTGCTGAGGGTTTAGGGTTTAAGGTTTAGGGTTTAGGGTTTAGGGCGACCTTGTAACAGTACTGTTGCTGCAGGCGATACCGTCAGGCCGGCCACCCAGGGCTTAGAAGTTTGATCGTGGTACGCCGTCTTCAATGTGCGGCGCCAAAGCCGATGCTATGAAAGCCTATAGGTTGAACTACGTGCTTGCATACTGTGTCATGTGGTACACTATATACAAGTCACAAGTTGCCCTATCTTATCACATCACACTAAGTTGAGGAGGCGGTGCGTTGCAGATGAGTCAAAGACATGACAAGATCTATCGCGTGACGTTTTGTGACACGCACGGACAATTGTCTTACACATTCTCATGCTGTGATGCATCGACTGCACATCAACAGTCTCGGCATGGAAAGGACTGTGTGAGAATGTTGCATCCAACGTCTATGAGTCAACGAAGAGGGCGGGTTAGCACAGCACAAGCAGACTCCTGACTATCCTGACTTCCTTTCCCCTTGCCTGCAGCCCCTGGGCGAGAAGAAGCGGAAGAATGGCGGCGAGGCAACTGCTGAAAACGCTAGCTCTTTCTTGAGGATTTGGGAGTTTGCCGTTTAGGGCCGAAGTTTAGTAGGGTTTGGGCAAGTTCGACCTGGCAAGTTAAGTGGAGCGAATCGTCACATCTGCACAGACCGGAGCGCCAATGGTCATTGTTATATCGTTCCCAAAATCCCTTACACATGTCATTTTCTGTTCTTACATAGTTGACAGCCGCTACATGACAGTCTACTCGGGTCTGCAGCGTTTGCTGCAGTCGGCTCAGAGCAGGCCTCTCCAGTCGCCGATGATGCATCTCCCAAGGAGAAGGCAGGTGATGGAAATCCACAGGTCGAGTTTGGGATGTAGCTTGCTTGGACACCATACCGTGCAAGCTGTTGTAATTATGTGTTGCAAGCCAATACCCGAATGAGTGCAAATTCTATTATGGGAAGGTCTAAAATATATATTACATGCACAATGCCTTAAGGAAAGCATCTCGTCAAGCCAGGACAGCACTGTGACTTTTCATATCTTTTTTTAAGGTGACTTACCAGGATCTAGGGTCGAGGCTTAAGAAACGCAGGGTTGCAGTCCCTTATTGATAGAGGGGCCTTGATAATTAGAATAGGGTTTTGGGGCCCATTATACTATAGTTGTAATAAGGAGCCCCCCCCAAATAATATTGGTAACGATTTAGGCCCCGATATTAGACGCTGTATTTAGCATACAGAGGCGAGAGTTACCCCAAGCCGGACCTCAGAGCAAACCTTTCTGGAGTGGGCTTTCATGCGTTGGGAACCATGGATGAGTAATTTACAAGGCAAGTGGTGCCTCGCCTGCTGGTGTTTAAGCCTTCTGTGGCTGGCGATGAGTTGTCTTGGCATAGAGTTTCATGTTGGTTTCAGCATGGTCGCAATGAAGCATGATTGGATGCTCATTACTCATCACTTGTTTAAATTCTGCTTGGTCCACTCGTCCGAGTACTGTTGATGACAGGTGGAGGAGCCTCAATCATAAATAAGCAATTCTATTAAACTCTATTCCTCTGTAGCCCCTGAAAAACAAGTACAGCCTTCGAACCTGTCACGGTTGTTCAGCCTACAAAGTACACTGCAACGAGAGGCGCTGCGCACTGAAGAGCCAGCGGAGGTCGACGCAGCACAAGGGGGCTAAGACCTCCTGAGACCACCATACCCGAATTTTTCGAAGCAAAAGGAAGACACGGGCTGTCTTTGCTGCGCGTCCATATTCGGAAGCTGGTTTCTTGTTTCATCTGTTCAGAGTTCATGCTACTGTGGCATTCCAGGCACAGCAATGCAAAGTCGTGCAGTCTTGCTCAGAGATGAAGACGTTTCGACGATCTGCTCACCTCCGTTCCAGTGTTCTCGAGACTGGGTGGTAGCCCGTCAGTATTTCGAAGTCTGATGCCCAAGATATCATCGATGGCTCCCGTGTCAGCAGGTATTTAGAGTGGATCCAGCTTGCAATCATGGGATGTCATGGGATATGCGAAGTTTCGGCGTTCAAGCTTCTGTTGAGTTGTGCGGCTTGAACTTGCGCAGCCTTCATCGAATGGTATTCGGCATGGTGCATGCCTTCCTCGCGGAGCAGGCCTGGCCCTCAGGCCCACGACCCCATCCCGCCTCGATACTCCCGAGCCCGACAGACAGGCGATGCAACGGGCGCATGGGCAGCTGGAGGCCGCAGCGGCGACGCTGGGCCCGCCGCGCAAGGCGAGCCTTCAGGGCTGATTCAAGCTTTCGCTTCGGGCCGTGGCCTGCAGTCTTCAGGTGACCCTGAAAGACTTCCTTTTGGACCCATTGGGTCCAACAGGAACTCTTTCAGGGTCAACCTTCGAGCCTCCCATGGTGGAGTACACGGTGGAAGAGAGTGACGGCGTCCACCGTGCACGAGTGCCTTTGGCCGGAGTCTCGCACGCAGGTGCGGCAGAGCCACTGCGCTCTTCTTGTCATGCTGCTGTTCTGCTTTTCGTTCATGCCAGGTGCACCCGCATCCTCCCAAGAGGAGGCAAGGCTGAGTGCCGCACTGGTGGCTTTGCGCTCGCTTCGAGCAAAGCATCGCAATGGGGAGAAGCATGGACATCAGGTCGCCAGACTTGTATTGTAGAGATCATGTTGTTGTCAGTTGTTGTTTACTTTGCAACCGAGAAGGTCAAGCGGTTTGTTTCCGAAGGGCCTGTGCGAACGGTGTTTCAAGTTTCGCTATCTGGGTTCTATATTGACAGCCTATCTTCAACAGCACAGCGCGAAGGCAACGGAAAGTGCACCGCCCAGTTGGGGGCGACATCGTGAACAACTGCCTTCGTTTGGAGCTTCGGCGTCGATCCACGGAGGGGACAACCGAGACCGTTGTCGTTTGCGCGAGCCTCGTATCGTGGGGGGATGATGGGGAATGGGAATATGGTGCGCATGGGGAAGAGGACCATGATGAGGAGTCCGTCCTCAAACATGGAGATGGGCTCCGGCTGGTGGGCGGGTCCGGTGCAAACCACATGGTGGCGTGCGATACGGCGTTATTCATCGTCAACTTCAACACCTATACTGGACTATAGATATAGTTTACCGGCAGCAGCGAAAGGGCTTGTTCGCGGGGTGTTCAAGCTTTGAGGGCTAAAGTCTGCATGAACGCTGTTGTTCGAGGGTGAGCGTCGCAGTCCAAGCCTAGTAGAAAATCTTCCGCGTGCCACGTGGGCGCAACCTCCGTGCCACTACAAAGAGAGTCGCCGGGGGAAGGCACGAGTCGAATCTGAAGTGGATTGAGCACAACAGCTGCTTGGCTTCATGTTTACGGCACAATCGTGCATAATTTTGTGTTGGGCTCTTTGGACTACAGAGCATCTCCCAGAGGAACGGGGGAGGCGACTAATTTTTCGTGGTGCATCAACTAAGGCGGAGCACAGGTTTCGCTCCGGGGTGGGCAAGGGACTGGCAAGCCGCTCTCGGTGAAAGTTTTCGGAGATGCCCGGCTGGGTCTATGTCATAGACACAGCCGGGCATCTCCGGAAACTTTCACCGAGAGCGGTATGTAGTCCCTTTCACTGGCGGGACAAACACGATGTGGCCGCTTGAAATTTGTCGGCACCTCATGTTTGTCAAGAAACAAGAAGCTGCGAGATGGCTGCTGCAATGGTCCGCGACCTGCTGGAGATGCTGTGCTCTGGCTCGCAAGCATGAGATTGATCCAGTCGTGAAATGTCGCTGGAGGTTCGGCCATAGGCTGGATTGGATATCCCGTTGCCTGGGATCGAGGCCTGCCAATGTGCAGACGGGCCGCCAGCCGAGACGCAAGTCTCCCCGATGTGAAGCGACCAAAATGGCAGATCCATGTGACAATTCTCCCGACTGGGTTCAGGGATATAGGGACTACCCATAGGCGCCATAATAGTTCCTTTTTGGGATTACGTTACAGGATTCTAAGTACCAAAAGGAACTACTATGGGGCCTATGGGTAGGGAATAGAGGGCTCAAGCCGGCCAATCGTTTCAAGGTTCACAGGAATGCTTAGAGGTTTTTGGGTTTAGGCCTGACGGGTTTACGAAGGGTCTAGAAGACGACCTTGCAGAATGTAGCATGTGCATTACTTTCTCTCTCGCACTATATACATATAATATACACATTCATATGAATGTATGTATATATATATATATATAGGCCTGGGTCCGCATCATCTAGAAAGATATTTGTATCTATGCTTCGATCTGCGTATCTACTTTTTATGTACATGTATACACATCATGATCAATGCACGTGTATGTGCACACTAGGTTGATTGTTCATCTGTTCGGACGGGTTCACATATGTGCACATGCATATATATATATATATACACATATAAATGCAGATACATATATATATATGTATATATATACACACACACTATACATTTGCTGAGACCGCTTTTTCCCCAACAGCCGCGTGGCTTCAATAGTGGGAGCGCCCGGTGCACCATCGGGAGCTGGAGGCCTGCAGCCGTCGTGTGGGAACTGATTGTAACGTTTATCTTTCTTGATGCCGCTCCCATGTCTGCAGCTGCAGTGTGGCGACTCTTGCCAGTGTTGGGACTGCATGCAGCTATTTCTGTCCCGACAGGGCGTTATGTTGCTGTCATGCCTGGTTCATTTTGGCTGAGCCTTTCCGTAAGCATGTGCAGGCAGAATTCTGCACGATGAGGCCAGGCGGTGCTATGCATGAGCGCCGGCACACCTCAACTGTCGCTCCTAGCTGGAACTCATCCACAGAACGGCAAGCAGGGGTTACAAAGAAGCATTGCTGAAAGCTACTTCCGAGCTTCCTGAACTCCAGCTAGTTCACAATGCCCTCCTTCAAGCCACTAAACTGCATTCGTCTGGAAGTCATTGGAGATCCTTTTGTGTTCCTGCATAGTCTCCGGGGCGGATTGAGAAGCCTGGTTTAGCAAAATGAGGCCCCTGTAATCTAAATCACGCAGTACGAATTTGAAGTTAGAGACCACAACCTCTTGGCTGAGAACCTTTCTGGCACGGTCTCGAAGTTCCCACTCCAACCACATCGTGAAAATCTCCGTAGGCACAATTCGCTTAGACCAAGGAACCATAAACCCTAAGCCACAAAGACGGAGAGAAGAATCACGACACTTCAGGCCGGCGCCATGCGCCGTGCATTTCCAAGCTCCCGGCGGCCACGTGCAGGCGGACAGGTTTGGTTGTCTGGTCCAGGGTTGCCACAAGTATGAACATGCTGGATAATGCGGCCAGGTAGGGGGTTTACAAGCATCATATAGGACCCTGCAGGAGTAGCATCAACTTAACATGTTGCTGCATCAAGTTCCTGAGAGCCTATTCCGATCATTGCAGCTCATTGAGATCCAGACGGAGCGCTGACGACCGCTTAATACAATCCACAGGTGGGAGAGACTGGTGAAACACATCATGTGGTGGCCAGTCTTCCTGCAGAAAATGCTATCATCCGTTCTTCTTTTCCAACAAGGGCAATAAGCCTGATTTCACCTGTGCTCTGAACGAGAACTTGCGGCAGGCCAGATCCCCATCCGCCCGAAACCCTATAATTAACCCGGTCAGCTTCTCCCACGTCTCTTGCAGGTTAGGCCAATGCTGCCTCTCCAAGGTCTCCATCCCAGGAGAGGCTTCAGCTCAGGGGGGTTGCCTTCTGCTGCTTTTAGAGGCTCAGGATCCTACTACGAAGGGGAGCTTTTTAGGGTATAGGGTTTAGGGTTTAGGGTTTGAGTCATGAGTCTCCAATCTCTGAAACTCCCATGTGACCGCTTGGGAAGCTTTCCGCGAGATCCAGGGACCGTTCAGTGACTCCGCAGGGTTCCAGTCCACGGCACAGTGCCTTCGAGAGTCCTTGCAAAGCAATGTCAAACAACTTCCAAACGGATCGTATTCTGACATCGCAACAGTAGTGTGATATGGAAAGTTGACGAACGTTGCAAAGCCGAAGGCTTTCCGCAAAGCTGACTTTTGCGTTACTTAGAACCTGTGCCTCATGTTTACACTTGTCAGACGACGTCAACGGTTTGTAGGGTTGGGGATACAATTGTGGAGTTTCAGGGAGGCACATCTGAGATCGCACCAAGGCTACACCGTGGCACACGCAGGCGGTCCAGTGGTCGCGTATCTCGCCAGCATGTTGATGAAGTGTTCCCTAACCTCCCAGATACCTACTATATAGGGTACTAGAGCCCCTAGGGCCCTTCATAGTAGGTACCTGGGTAGGTTAGGGTTATCTTTTGGATCCCTTGTGTATTTGTGAGCTCGGAGCGCCTGCAAACCCCTTACAGCCGTGGAGTTCGGATGATGTAGCAAGGGCATCTACCGTTCGGGTAGGCATACATGTATTTGGCACAGTTTACGTCTTCTGTTTTATTCTATATTCACGTCAATGATACCATATTCGATTATGTCCTGTTATAGTACGTGCATCTCCTCAGATTGTTGCCATCCTGCAACTCCCAAGGCAGATCTGAAGCCCCCAACTGCAGAAAACACTGTCCTAACCGGAAGCCCGAAGACACAATCACTAAGCAAGTCCTGCTTCCCTAAAACCCTATAAACCCTGTAAACACTATAAACCCTAAACCCTAAACCCTTGAACCTGAGCGCCGAATCCTCTTGCGCCCGAGGCACACTCCGCCCGGCTTCTCCCCTGGCCGGGGAGCCAAGACTCCGGGGTGTGGCTGGGTTTGATTAAAGAAGCCTTGGGGCTTTAGGGTTTAGGGTTTAGGGTTTTAGGGTTTAGGGTTTAGGGTTTAGGGATGACGCACTTAAGTATTTCAGGGTTTTGAGCCTGAAGGTTACGGATTGTAGGCTTCAAGGACTTTTGGACTTCAGGCTGCGGGGTGTGCTGTGGAGTTGCAAATCTCCACAGGGAGACACAGACCGGTACCGGTACGAAGTACAAGGGCAAAGTAGGGACGACAGGTATTCAAGACTACGGCTCGGCTGATGGACATCTCGCCAGTATCAAGATGACGGCGTATTTCAGGACGATACATGGCAGTCAGTTACTGGTCGGGCTACATCAGGTATTTCTCTGTCCATTACATCTGTACAGTTGCACTACACAGACTACATGCGCAGAAAAGCGTTCGCGTGTGTTTCGAGCTCCAAGATTGGTAGGCCTGTGGAAATCTCAGTTTGCGCCGGCCAAGGTGTGCACCACTCGCCTGTTTCTCATCAGCCTGCGGCTGAGAGGAGATTTTCTGAAGTGGCGACATGTACTCGATTTGGGGCTCCATCGGGTTCAAGGTCTCCTGTAGGCTTTTTTGTCGATTTAGGGCTAGGAGGTGGTTTCGATTTAGGTCGCAGGGTTTGGGGCCAAGGGTCTGCGGGTTTTATGTTGGACTCTGGATTGCGACTGCTTGTTACTCTATTGCCACCGGGGAATTCACACGCTGCTTTGGAAATGTGCTTCGCTCATATTTGGTATGCGGTCTGCGCAAGTTCGAGACAGACAATGCGCAATTGAAGTGCCGACAGTGTCAACTACATCAAGCGTTACAGTTGCATCGAAAGTTTCGATGCATATTTGCTGCATCGTTGCTGATGCTGCTACGTAGAGATCTAACAAACACAGCTCCCTGCAGGTCGGACCGGCACGTCACCTTCCACCAAGCCATGCCTGCCACGTTTCACCCGCCCGGAGTAGCAGCCGCCTCAGCTGCGACTGCATGTTCGGCATCATGGTGGGTGAGCTTATAAAATGGTAGCAGTTGCCAGTGACAGTCCTCCCAATGTTGCCGTTGCCACTCTGCTTTGCCTTCCATCTCACCGGGGACCGATTGGATCCATTAATCGATGTTTCGTGCTCAGCCCGCAAATTGCTGTTACCCATGTGAAGCCTTGTATAGGGCTTGCATCTCGACCAAGGTGCACCACATGCCGCCAACAATGCCTGCTGTGGCAATGCCAGGATGGCACCTGTTTTTGTTGGAGAAAGGGATGAGAGGGCCGCTGATTTATCTTCAAGCTGTCGTGGTGATTCCGTGATTACGTGCAGGCTGGTGTAATGGTCCATTGAAGTACTTGAAGCTACTGCGCGTAGGACTCCGGGCCCCCTCTACCGACATTCCCAGCAGCTTCATACAGAACAGCTTTATGCCGTGGTAGTTTTGACGAAGCTTCTCGACGCCTGTGATAGGAGGTCAGCCCGTGGCGATGTTGCCGGGCCAAGTGATGCAGCCGAAGGCCACAAAAAACTCAATGTATTTGCAAATCGAAATCGAGCGCAGGTGCTAGACATTCGTGTCCTGTTAATTGAGCTTGGGTCTCGTTCGAGCTGGAGGTGGGGGTTGGTTGTGCTGTTTTTGTTGATTGCATGCGCAGGCATGTTTTTGTTCACCACGTCCGTACTTTCGCCTGGCTCTGGGTCAGCCTAAAACCTGTTCCCTGACACACCCCACCTGCCTGCCTGCATGCCCGTCCGGCTACCTACCTCCCTCTGCCTGCCAGCCGAGCCACCTCCCTACCTACGTACTTGCATGCATACATGCCTGCATGCATAATTGTAACAGTTATGCATGCAGGCTGTTTGTGCATGAATGTATATGTATAGATGTATGTATGCATGTATGTATGTATGTATGTATGTATGTATGCATAGATGGCATGACACTTTATCCATCATACTCGATCATAGACATCATCTTCCGTGTTTCCAAAACCACATTTGTGTAAGATCACCGAAGCACTCGACGATGCCTTCGGGCCTGCCGGGGTTGTATATGCAGGGTTTGCATGTCCTGGACACGTGGACGAGGGGGGCTACAGTCCCAGTGATGCCATGTTCACAGATTCACCACACATTGGAACAGCAAGATTAGGAGCAGTAGTTCGTGCACGAACAAAATACAACAAGCAGCAGCGTGAAGAAAGAGCTGTAGCAGTACGACATGTTGTCAAGACTGCCGTAGACAACGAAGACCCCGTGCTGTACACCTGCAAACTGAAGTTCCTGCCACTATTTTCAGTACATGTCAGTACCATCGTCACTGCAACGACCATGTTTCTATCTGCCTCAGGCCGTCCAGCGGGTCGCCAGTGGACCGGTGCCAATGCATTCGATCAGAGCTTGCCTCGGCGTCGACAGGGTCGGGAGGGCACAGGACGATATCCCGTGATGCATTTGACCGGGCAGCAGAGCTGAGGTAGCAAGAAGGGTAATAGTGAGGACATCTCCACCTCCACCTCCCCGGCCACTCCCAACGCCCTCCAACCACGCCACAAGAACTGCGGTAAAGTCTGGATCCAAATCTGCGTGTGAGGGCGAAGACTTGTGCTCCTGGAAACTTGAGATCTCGCTTGGGGCAAGTAGCTTGTCGGAGTGGCCAAACAATTCCCGTCCTTCACCGCATCGGGCAAGGGTTTAAGCAGAAGGGGGCAAGGGAGGTCGTCGTGCCAAGGCTTGCTTGTCTCGAGAAGCAGGGCCCTTTCCCACAAGTACACGGGTGTATCTGTGTTTTGCTGTCTTGCGAGATTGCGCAGCACTTCATTCCTATGCTGTTGCGTTTGCCCTCAGTAAACTAAATACGGGGTTGTACATCATGGCATCCTTATCGGATGTACGTGATCTGCACGCCTAGTCTTTCGCAAAGCTCTGCCGAGTTAGTCCATTAGTGGAGCCAGGCACATAGTCTAGGCATTCACAACGCCATGCATTCCAGTCGTCTTTATACGTGAAGCTACTAATTACCAGCGGCATCCGTAACATCCTTGATGATGCTGCTGCCAAGTCTGTGTACCAGTATGCAACGAGTACTGAGGCCTCATGAAGGCTGCTACGCATGCGGCAATGGTCAGCCCAAGGCCCTGTGATGCCCTGTGCAAACCACGGGATGACCCCAACCCCCCAAGTACGCACTATATAGGGTACTCGAGCCCCTAGGGCCCTAAAAAGTAGGTACCTGGGGGTTAGGGTGAACGGGATACCAGACAGCTTGGCGTGGATGTTGGCCGGGCACAGGCTGCTAGGATGCTTCTCGAAGGGTCTCCTCCTCGGGGAGCGAATTGCAAAGAGTTACGGCTCTGATCTTTTGTTGCCTTCATCTTGGGAGCCAGGCTTTGGCCTGCTGCAGATGACCATGTTATGACGACACCATTATGTTTATGAGCCGTACCTTGTATTCGTGGTAGAAGAGCATGTTGTATTCGCCCAACATATGGGGCCCAATCCCAGTCCACCCCAGCGCCGCTCAGTTGAAGCATGTTTTGGAGATATCGGGGCTGGGGGATTTTGAGGTCAGGGGTTTCGGGTGTAGATCCCCTGGGATCCCACCAGCATATTCTGCTGACCTGTGTAAGACTGTGTTTGCACGCCTGCCCATACATCATAGTAGAGGTAAATGTCCGTGTGCATCTACATATGTATTCTGCATGCATACATACAAATATACATACATACACACATACATACATGTAATACATACATATATACAGACATACATACAGACAGACAGCACTAATTATCGAAGATCTCTGCACTATCAAGATGTATGTATGTATGTATGTATGTATGTATGTATGTATGTATGTATGTATGTATACATATACATATACATATGTGTATATATGTTTATACATATATATATATATACGTATGTATGTATGTATGTCTGTATGTATGTATGTATGTATGTATGTATGTATGTATGTATGTATGTACGTATACATACAGAGGCATTCGCGCACTCGTTCTGTTCGGCCACTTTTTCGCATGTGCTCCCCACTAGATGAATGACTCCCGCCACCAACCGCATGACAGATGCTGGCTGCAGACCTCTGGGAATTGCAAGTTTGAAGTCCCGGAAGGCTGATGCACTTGAAGAAGTCCAAGGAGGACCCTGTGTAAGATTTTGGAACCTGGGAGTTTTTGGCTTCAGGGCTCCAAGAATACAGTTACAGTTGGCGCAAATTGCGAAGGACAAGAACTCGAGTCCAAGAAAGTGTTGGAAGTCCCTTCAGAGAGAGACGTTTTGCTGGCATCTCCTTCGCAAGGGAGAGGAGTTCCCACAAGTTTCTCAATACTGAACATGCCTGGCGAGGATGAAGAAGACGGTAGGAGAGTGGCAATATTGTGAGGACGAAGCAGAGGTGGTGTAATCCTTCATTAGCCGCATTGATGATGTCTTGGTTTAGTAACAATTTAGCCAACGTACTGTTGTCGTGATGGTCATTGCTATTAGTACTGCAGTCTGTCATGCTGAATAATAATTCTGTTCTGCATCACAGGAGGATGAAAGTCCCATGATGAGAAAAGCGAAGAGCGAGCAGGCGCTTCGTGACAGTCCGGCATCAGGGCGAACTTGGCTTCAGGGACATCGCGAGGGTGTACGGTTTATGGTTTTAGGGTTTAGGGTTTAGGGTTTAGGGTTTGGTGTAGTCTCAACATTGCAAATGTTCCGGGTAGAGCTGGGGCATGCTGGAGCCGCACTGCGACATGACAATCTCCCATGATTGTTGCACATCACCTAAGGCCCCAGGCACTTCAACCCTGGAACCCTACGCCCCCAAGTCCCTAAACCCGAAAGACTCCTCAAATGCTGGACCCTAAACCCCAGTGGCTCTCTAGAGGCTCCGCAGATCACCGGCATCATCAAGAAGTTTGAGCAGGCCTGGTATGGCTCTTGTGAGATCCTTTCGAGGATTCTTTCGGCGTTTCGAAGACCCGCAGAGGGTCTCTCAAGACCTGAAGGTACATGTGCTGACATCCCTAGAAGGAGTTGAAGATGTAAGGATGCAGGGTTTAAGGCTTATTTGTGCCGTTCGTGTGTAGAGTCTAGGGGTTTAAGGTGTATCCTCGGACTATGTTACTGGTTCTTGAGACAAAAAGTCTCACTTCTGGACCTTCGGCTGTCTCTGTTACCATGGGCACGTGACCAACCAACACTCCCGCGGGAGCGCCGGAGCTCTGGAGCTTTCCGTCGCCTCATAGTGTAAAGTAAAGGCTTGCACTTGCATTCGTACTCGTGCCATTATACGTGTGTTTGTAGTATTCTGTGTCGTATAGTAAGCATGTAGTAATTTAAACAGCAATATAACGAGAAGTAGTCGTGTCGGAGGGCCGCAAGTGTGGCCAATCAGGCGATGAGTCAGCAGTCCGAGTCCACTCGATCCAGGCCTGGAGAACTTTGGCTTTTGGGGCTAGTCGCCAAGGCTGAAGTAGCATACATTGGGTGCAAGCAAGGCAGAATTTGGCACAGGACACCGACCAATGTGAAGATATCAGGAACACCGAGTCTACCACTTTGCGGCCCGAAAGTGGGTCACAGGCGAGATGATGACTGCAAAACAGCTTGCAACTCTGGACATCCGAATCTCATCCATACTCTGACACATCAAACCCCGCAGCTCCATTCCATTCACAATTGCAGCGGCTCCGCCTCATGCTATCTTGCTATGGCGGCAGTATTCTTTCCTGACCAGCAGCGTCTTTACCACTACCGCCCGCTACTCTTGACACTATTCCTGATGCTACTGCGGTTGATGCCCTACTAAATCATGACATTGAAGCTCCCCACGATTCCCCTGCTACCCCTAATTGTAAAATTGCTCTCATGCAGAGCGTGTAAAAAGGGTCAGCGCGAATGCCCTAACCACTGCATGGCCACGGGGGGATACAACATTGAAATTATGGGTTTGCGGGGAAGTGGATAGCGCGACATGGAATATGTGCGATGTTGTAGGTCATGCAGGATTTTGGGCATCAGCAGTATCACCAACAATTTGTGCGTGTGCGTGTGAGAGAGTGTGTGTGTGTGTGTGCGTGTTTTCCTGCTGGTACTCCTTGCAGATCTTTGTCCATGATGCTACTTTGATCATACTCTTCCTGATCGTTACTAGTACCATTGACCATCACAGCTCCTATCACTTTGCTAAATGATGCCGTACGATTTCTGCTTCTGCTCTTGCTCACGTCTATACGCATTACAATATTGCCGAACATGTGGGGGTTATAAGCATCATGATACTCGCAAGCATCACTCTGAAGACTGAACCCTCGCTCCCTGACCCTCTAGCCTTAAGGCAACCATAGTCAAAACCTTGAAGCTCACAGCACATTTTATCTTCTGCTTCGTCTCTGACTCTTCTGCCCCTAAACCCTCCGGCAAGCCGGCAGTTGTTTGGCGGAGCTCAACCTCACAATCCTAAACCTTCAACCCCGAACCACAAAGCCGCCAAGCCTAAACCCTAAAGTACTAAACCCTAAAGCCCTACACCCTAAACCCCAGTACCCTAAACCCCTATACCCTAAACCCGCAACCATAAACACGAAGCCCCTACTCTCGAGTCGAAAGTGCTGGCAGTTCCCTGATGGAGCTGGAGGGGTCCGGGCATCTCGGGGACTTGAGCATGGCTCTCATCCGGTGTCGGGTTTTGGGGGGTTTGGGGTTTAGGGTTTAGGGTTTAGGGTTTAGGGTTCGGTGTCGGGTTTTGGGGGTTTGGGCCTGCAGAATTGCCCATAGTATTCCTCAGAGCTCCGCAATGTTATACTTAGATTTCCTCAAGGTGTACTTATACTGTTTTGCACCGCCCCCCAAGCCCTATTTTGATGGTTCGGGCCCCTATATTCGGGCCTTTGAGGGGTTAAGGCTTAAGGGGCTTTGGCGGTCGGTCGGAAGCTTGTGACATCGTCGTACAGATCCTGACCACACTTCTGTGCATCGTGCGGTAGTTCGGACATTTGCATTGAATACATCGGACACCTTGTGATCACGAGGTGATGTTAACGCGCAGCATTTCTATCCTTGTGGCCCAGTGTGCGCCCACAACTCTTGCGGCACTTGACACAATCGACCAGTTCACTTCCTGATGGAGCAGGCCCAGATGGCAGCGCCGTCTGACAACGAAACCGTGTGCACTAGCACAGCAGGCCTAAGCGCTGACTGTGCAGCCCTTGTGCTACACCACCGGCCAAGGTCATTTGCAAAGAGGCCGAAGTTCACCGGCCCGGGCGGCCCAGACTTAGCAGTGGTCATTCTAAGACCAGATGTAGAGTAGGAGACTTATAGAGATCATTGGCGGGGGCAGTCATTCCCATCAGGCAAAATCGCACAAGATGTACTAGTTCTGTAGGGGTAGTGGTGGTAGTAGTCGTCGTCGCAGAAGTAGCAGTAGCAGAGGTAATACTAAAGTAGTCGTCGTCCTCGTAATCGTACTCGTCGTCGTAGTAGCAGTAGCAGCAGCAAAAGTCGTAGCAGTAGTACTCGTCAGCGTCCCCCATGCATTTGTCGTCGCAGAAGTAGTAGCAGCAACAGTAGAGCTAGGAGTCGCAGCGCAGCAGCAGCAGCAGCAGCAGTAGTTGTTGCTGTAGTAGCAGCAGCAGCAGCAATAGTGGAAGGTAGTCTCACCTTGAACAGGCCGCATGTTCATCGTAGGCTGCAGGGCTGGGTTTTTGGGTCGAGGATTCTTAGCATCAACAGGTGTCTTGTAATGTCAGGAAACGGCTCTGGACCTTGTTGCCGCTCCCTTCCTGAAATCAGCGAGATGCGAAGTCATCCTGTATACAGATAGCCCCGCACTGTTTTGGCCCGACGCACAGCTGAATGGCCTGAGGTTGTAAGGCAATCCTCCAGCGTCAGCAGCCTTCGCTTCGGCGGTCCCCTGCTTAGAACATATCGGTTTCCCTTGAAGTGTTATTGCTGTGGCTGTTGCTGTTGCTGTTGCTGCTGCTGCTGCCGCCGCCGCCACTGCTTGCTGCTATCACTTCGTCGTGTTGCTCGTAAGACTCGTAGAAACAGAGCATGTTGCTGGCAGTATTGACACCACTATTTCTTGTCAGCAGGTACATGCACTCTTTTGAGTTGTCGTTTACTTGCTGTGGTTGTGGTGGTGGTGGTGGTGGTTGTTGTCGTTGTTGTTATTGTTTTTTGCTGGTGATTTCTCAGCGTGGCTACAATCAGAGTGTTTGATGCTGTTGCATGTGTTTCCCCTACTGTCTAGGTATGTGTCATGCCCACGGCTGTGTTTAGCAATATTTGGTACCCTTGCTGGTGCTGCTGTTCCGCGATTTGCGGTGGAGCAGCCGAGGATATGCGACCTTTGTATGCAAAATACGGGACGTCCAGCTCATGGTGTAGGGCTTCAGGACATTTGGTTTCAGCGATCCTAAATCCGGAGCAGCCGAGTGCAAAGTTGCACCGTCCTACTGCTGCCAGCAACCACGAGAAGCCACAGGTGTCTAGACGTATAACTCCTAGACCAGCAAGTCCCACATGGCAAGGGATTAGGGCTTAAGGTTTGAATGAGGCTCTCTAGGCTGCAAACCGATGACAGATTCCTCTTGGGGATCCGGGCCGCTGTGGACAGATGTTACTGCTTGCACCTTTGGGCATCTCCTCGGAGTCCTTTCTCTTTGCAATCTCCAGTCTGAACCGACTTAGACTCCATGATCCAGCTGCTAGCTTCAGCGCGAGGCATACTGAGCCGAGCGAGCACTGTCAACTCTATGCCTCTCACCGTGAGGCCGAAGTGGTTGTTTTGATGTGGCAGGTAGATGGCCTGCGCATTGCAACTATAAGTATCAATGTTGCTCCTGGGATACATTCTTTGTCGTGCATACTAGTTACTGTCGGGACTATGGACGGTGTTATTCCTGTTGTTGCAGTCTGTAGATGTTTGAGACAACTACATCACGAATGTTGCTGTCATACTACGCTGTTGGCCCGATTGAAGCACCGCATGGTGTATGATTCAGTGCTCCGTTTCTTTTCAGCATGGGTCGGCCCAAGAACTGGCCTCACAGTGCACCATGCGTCAGCGCAAGCCTTCCGATCTTGCTTCGGCAACCTCCTCTGGGAGGCAGTACTTTCCGTCGTTGAGTTTAGGCTAAGGTTCTGGGTTGGGGTATCGCTCGGCACGTCTGCTGCAACAGCTTTAAGTTTGCGCGCCTGGGTATTGGCAAGATCGGCCTAACTCTTTACATGTCTACCGCCATACCTTTGCTATACGGCATATGTATGCACATGTATGTATGCTATGGATGCACGCATGCACGCATGCATGCACGCACGTATGTATGTATGCATGTATGTATGTATGTGTGTGCATGTATATGTTTATGTAATTTATGTATGTATGTATGTATGTATGCATGCATGTATGTATGTATAATATGTGTAGTCTTATGTGTATGTGTGTAGGTAGGTAGGTAGGTAGGTAGGTAGGTAGGTAGGTAGGTAGGTAGGTAGGTAGGTAGGTAGGTAGGTAGGTAGGTAGGTAGGATGCAATCTGTAGCAATATATGTAGAGGGAGATATCGATAAGACGTGTGTATACATGTGCGTTTCTACTATATAGCAAGAACGATATACTTCTCTATCTAGTTAGCTATCTAGCTAGCTAGCCGACTAGCTGGCTATCCATCTGTCGATCCAGCTGTCTGTAACTATATAGTGCACTGGATGTTTGAATACATATATATATATATACACATACGCACATCCGCACAAACACATAGATAGATAGATAGATAGATAGATAGATAGATGACAGCTTACACACAACATTATTTTCCCTATCTGTTCATCTACCTGCTTAGTAAAACCCTTCTTGCTTCATTTGCTCACGTGTGTCCTTTTTGATTTTCGCCCAGGAGCCCCAAGTCTTTCAAGGAGGTCGTGAGGCAGACGTCGCAGCCAAGCTTGAAGGCAGGACCCCTTTGAGGCAAACCTTAAGGGCTTGGGGTTCTGGTTTTGGAGGTAAAGCTTCGAGTACGGTCCGGTTAGGCTATAATGTCTATACAGGGTGGATTGAGGAGATAGGCTTCTGTAGTGGTCGTCTAAAGTTTCAGACATACTGAGAAGCAGGGTCAAGTCTGGCTCGCTTGCATGCCCACAGCTTCGATGCAAGCGTTAAGCGCGGCACGTCTCCAATGTGCTCGCATGTAGTTACGGCTAGGTGTGGGAATTTACGTTTGCATGTGTATGTATGCCCTCTGTGTCCTTTGGAAAACAAGGAACTCGCCACAGAAACCCCAATTCAGCACCCCTGCCCTCTTAAAGTAAGTCTAAAAGTCATAATCAGATTCATATACTTCTGGTCCTCAAGTAATTCTTAACGTCTTAATTTGACTCATATACTTCTGGTTCCTTGATGGGAAGGGTGATGAGGGCATCTCCGGGTCGTAGGGGTATCCTGGTTCCCCGGCTTTCCCAACCTGGACCGGGACCACCAAGCCCCATAAAATCAGTAAACGCCCTGAATCCTAGACCACTAGATCCTAGTCCTAAACCATCAAACCTAAACCCATCTAAACCCCAAACTATCTCAGGCCTAAGCAGTAAAGCCCAAGCCCAAAACCCTACACCCTTCGAGCTTCGGCTTTACAATGGGTGGATAGTACTTTTGGTGTTTAGATATGAGTGTGAGGGAAGAGGCCGCAACCATAGGCAACTGCCTCAGCCAACCTTGGCGTTCGGCCTAACCTAACCGGGCAGGTGGAAAAGAGGTGTCAAAAAAAAAAACCCTAAACCGTAAACCATAAACCCCAAACCCTCAGCCCAAAATCGCAAGTCCAAGACTCTCGAGGCGCAGGCCTTGGCGAGCACCGGAGGTTCTCCGAGATCGCCAAGATCCCCGTCGCCGAGGCCATGATCGCCGGGTTCCATAACTGGGGGAGTTTTGCGGAGTTTCATAGGGGGTTTACAAGGATTCTGATGGGTGCTGCGGCTTTAGGAGATTACCGGGAAAGACCCAGGCGCCCTTTACGCTGAAGCACATAAGCCATCATCAACCGAGAAGGCACGAAAAGTGCCACCACCGAATTTTTTGTGGGGAAGACTAAGACCAAGACTTTCCTGCAGGTTCGCCGAATTCTGATATTTGCTTGGGAGTTAAATGATTCTACTTGGAAGCCTTGAGAGCATCCGGACACTCCCAAGATGAGGGGGTGCTTATCTCAGAAGTAATTACCTTCTTGAAGGGTGCTTTTTGCAGCGATACCGCGACTTCGGGTCTATGCCAGGGTTCTCTTTCTGCAAGTCCGATGTTTTCGCAGGTCGAGAGCGAAGCAAGGTGTGACGCGCAGTGCGAGTGCCAACATTGGGCTGGACCCTGAGTATGTGAAGTGTGTGTGTGTGTGTGTATGTATGTATGTATGTATGTATGTATGTATGTATGTATGTATGTATGTATATATACATATGTATAGACTTAGACTTATAGTCATACATATAACTATATATGTCCATAGTACTGTATAGCTCTATGTGTGAATATATATATATATATATATGTATGGCAGCCTTGACTTGGGGCCCCAAGAGACGAAATTCCCAGAATCCACCCAAGCCATGCTAGGATCCCGCAAGCTACCGCCTGAAAACTACAAACCGAGGCTGCTCGAGGGCCGTTTCGGTCGCAGCGGCGTGTTGTCTCCGCGCTTGTCGCCACAGGGCTCTGAGAACCTGGAGGCCCACAATCAGCAGTGATTCAGATTTTTAAAGGGTTCGTAGCCACCGTAGCCACCTTGATCAAGTTCCTTTCCCTGTGTTTCTTTCGGGGAACCTGGTCTCTACTGCGGCAACGGCAGTAGCAGTAGCGCAAGGGTGTTGAACTTGAATGCGGCCGCGCAATTCCTGTTATCGTCGCAGAAGCCTAAGAACGACGTTCGCATGCTCAACTCTGATGCCGGTACTAACACACGTACCCAAGAGCCTTAATTATCCTAATGCTGCTACTCGGAATTTATGAGCCATAGTGTTAGCAGGCAGTTTGGCTGGAAGAGCAACCATAACGGCAAGACTAAGAAACAAAAGCAGTGGCGAGCGTTAGTGACAAGACGAAACCTAGAAACATCAGTTGGTAGTTGTCTTTGCAGCAGCTGTGAGTGAACTACAGAGAGACTGCCTGGGATCACTCCAAGTCAGGATACCATCCAGTCAATGCGATCCCTCGGGGAGTCGACTGCAGAATTAGCAAACTCCTTGGAAGAGTGCCCTGTGCTGTGACTGGGGTTTGGCGTCTTGAGTCTGGGCGCTAGCCTATACTACTTTGGGGGTTCCTTACTATATTCATAGTATAATGGGCCCCAAAACCCAATTCTGATTATTAAGGCCCCCAGATTAATCACCTCCGCTAGGATCCAGGGCTCTTTGGCGACTTGGGGATGTATGGTTTCTGGCCTGGGATTGCGGAGGTTTGGGCCGGGTTTGCTTTGAGTGCTCTGAGGCAGAGCCAAGCCTCCAGCCTTACTTGTCCTCCTCATGATCAATCTTCCATTTATACGATCCCTAACCCTTCAGGTACCTACTAAAAAGGGCCCTAGGGGCTCTAGTGCCCTATATAATGGGTACCTGGGGGGTTAGGGGATGATTGGAGGTTTAACCTGTAGCGTGTTCTTGATGATTGTTGGTGTTGCCGTTTCCTTTGTCAGTAGTGTGCTGCAAGCCTGTGAAAAGGAGGCCTTCGAAGTCCCGTGCTCTGATACAGAAGGCATTTGGTTGCAGAAGTGAGGACAGCGTTCGATGGTGATAGAGGGTAACCTAACATGAGCTTTCCCGACCATGACAGACACAACCTTGTTTGGGGAGGTACAAAAATGCATCACAACGGGTGCGGACGCTTCAAAATCAGATGGTGCGTGCCTGGATCTTAGCCGAACATCCACCATGGGGCTCAAGCAGGGGACGCATGGCAGCATGACTTGGAATTCCTGAAGGAGGCAATCCGTGCGTTCCTAACTGGGGCTGTGATTCCTCGAGGTAGGTCAGAGGCGCTCTCCATTTTATCTCCTGTCCAGGTTGCAACGGACTCGCCACAAGTTCAATCGGTGCCCTGCTGCTGTCAGCGTACAATCCGTGAGCAAGTGTCAAGACTCAGAAGAAGACAGCCCTGGGCAAATCGAAGATCCAGACTGTTGCAGATTAACACATCGCATTGCGGTAATTGCGGCTAGACAGTCACGAGGTACCCGAAGACGATGCGCTTGAGGACGACGAGGACTTTGAAGCCTCCGAAGTAGAGGCATGTGGCCTCATCTTGCCTCAGCTTTGATGGGCTGGGGAGCAGAAGCAATGAAGCTGAGAAGCTTGAAGTTCAACACATGACGATCTGTAAGCGCGCCGCATTTGCTGGAACAGGTTGTGAAAGTGCGATCTCTGAGAGAATCCACAAGGCCGTGGCGCAGTCAGCGTAGTCGACTGATAGTTTCGAAGCTATGCGAAGCTTCAATACTTAGGAACTTGGCTCCCGAGCTATGCCCGCGCAAACATTAGCATATGGTAGAAGGGGCCCATCTGTCGCTCCCGTCAACTCTCTCTTCAACCATGCCAACTCCTGAGTGGGGGCCAGGGTTTTGGGTTTATGGTGTAGAACGAAGATTCTCCGAAGTTGTAGTGGTCGAAGTCATCGTCGTCGGTTCGAAACTTCGCTGCTCCATGCTAGGTTCCATCAGGGCGTCCACTAAAGCAAGAGCCCACGACTTGATTCAGGACAATTTGCACGAGGGTACTGTATATGTACATACATATATGTATGTATGTGTATATATATATATGTAAATATACCTACATATACATCTTGACAGAGTGTGAAAGAGGGAGAGCGAGACAGAGACAGAGAGAGAGAGAGAGAAGAGGGAACGACTACCCCTTCACCACAGCCCTGGCGAAAGAAAGAAGAAAGAAGGGAAAGGGGCAAAAGAGAGAGAGAGAGAGAGACAGATCTCTCTTTGTTCCTTCTTCTGCCAGAACTACTTCGAGGATTGGCACTTTGGTTGTTACTAATATTGCTGCTGCATAGTTGTAGGACTGAATTTGTGAGCTGTTCTAGACTCTAGACCAGGTTTGGGCACACGTATGGGAGTATCCGGGCACGTGGTCTCCCTTGTAATGTATGGACCTAAATAATTACCAATATTGTTGTGGGGGGGTTCCGTATTATAGTTATAGTATCATATAAAGCAAAACCCTACTCTAACCATTAAGGCCCCTACATTGGTCTCCCTTGTCATTCCGTTTCCTCAGTTTGTTTACTCTCTCACCTCGAAGTCTTCGCCAGGCTCGAAGCCCTGAACCAAAAGCGCGACTCCGAACCCGGTACGATGAAAGCTTGCGAAAGCACTAAACCCGGCATTTTAAGGGTTTAGGATTTAGGGGTTTAGGGTTTAGAGATGTTTAGAGGTTTAGGGTTTAGAGGTTTAGGGGTTCAGGGTTTAGGGGTTCTTTGAGAACTCTGAATCCGAACCCAAACAAGCCCGAGAATCGTCAACACCACGCACCGACGACACCCGCCCCAGTGCCAGAACCCTCGAAGTCTTCGTCCCCACAACCGTAAACCTTACAACCAACCCCAAATCTTGAACCCCAAAAGTCTAATTTAGGGTTTAATTTAGGCTTAAGGGCCTTTAGGGGTTTAAACCCAGAGCCCTGTTTTCGGGTTTAAGGTTTAGGCTCAAGGGTCTTTAAAGCTTTAAACTCTCAGAGCCCTAAACTCCTAAACCGCTCAGTTTAAGCTTGGGCCTTTTAAGAGTGTCTAAACTCCCTAAACCCTAAACCCTAAACCGGCAGCATGGGCGTACAAAGAGACCGTCAACCCAACTTAAAAAAAAAAACAAACCGTTCAGGCTCGCAAGCAAGCGCATTCTACCTCTCGGTGGCATCGGAGTGGACAGTGATGGCGAGCCAGGGGCTGAAGAGCCAAGCGCGTAACATAGGGGCCTTAATGGTTACCTATACTATTGTTGGGGGGGCTCCTTATTAAAATAGAAGCCACAAAAAGGAACTACTATGGGGCCTTTGGGTAATAGTTACCTATACTATTTTTGGGGGGGTTCCTTATTTAGAAATATGGTACAATGGGCCCCAAAACCCTATTCTAATTAGTTTTGAAGCTGAAGAGCCAAGCGCGTAACATAGGGGCCTTACCCATAGGCCCCATGGTAGTTCCTTTCTTGGGGATTACCTAATAGGATCCTAGATAGAAGCCACAAAAAGGAACTACTATGGGGCCTTTGGGTAATAGTTACCTATACTATTTTCGGTGGTTCCTTATAAAAAAAATACGGTATGATGGCCCCCAAAACCTATTATGAAGGACCCTGTATTAGGTGCCTTAGCAGTTCATTAAACTGGGGCTCCCTCAATTTCAGTGCTCTTGAAACGTAGCCAAAAGGGGGTCACTACAAGGGTTTAAGTAGGGCTTTGGGGGGTACATCGGCGGCCTTCGAAAGGTGCGCGTGACATGCAGAAAATCCGAGCGCCAAGCATGTAAGACTGGCAGACATGCTGACATTTGGGTGGTTGCCTTTTTCGGTCAGCAATATAGTACGGCACCTAATGTTTAGGGTACCCCAAAAGGGACCCTAATTTTGACAACCACCCATTTGTAGGCAAGTTCTCCACATCGCTGGAGTTGGTGTGCGTTCTGTGAGACTTGACGAGCTCAGGGATTCGCCGATGGCCGCAGACCAAGATCACGGCTGTGCAGTGGCAGCGACACCGTCAACGACTTTTGAAGCATCCGTGTGTGGTTTCTATGAAGGGAAGACTCGTCCACCATGCTGTTATCGGTAAGTTGTGCTTCCGCTCAGGCAGATGGCGGCTTGAAGGCAGCGGCATCAGTCGTAGGTTCCATCTGTGCAGAAGGAAAGATCGCTCTTCTGATTTTGATGTCGAGTCGTTCTCGCGACACAGCCCCTACGGCCTAGACCCTAAATGCAAATGCAGGTGGTGGAGACCGGCGTCATAACCAATGAAGTCAGCTCGCATGTTTGAAGGGCAAAGACAGGTTCCCAGGGATCAGAGTTGTGGGTTTAGGGTTCAATTCCAGCTCAGGCTTAATATAGGGGCCTTAAGAATTACCTATATCATTTTTGCGGTTCCTTATTGTAAATTTACTATAATGGGCATTAAAGGGCCCCAAAACCCGATTCTAATTCTAAAGGCCCCTACATTATCTCGTTTCCGGGTCTTAGTCGTTTGCTGTCCTGGCATTACGATGACATGTTGTCTTGATCTTTGAACCTGAGCGCTGATACTTTTGCATATTTGTCCAAACCTCTCGGCATCTTAGAACTATCGCAGTGTTGTGCGTATTCCTCTGTTGGTTGTTCGGTGACTGCGCTTGTGAGGAATGATGTAAAGCCGTATACACATTGATGCCATTGTAGTCTCTTGTGCTCGCCAAGTTGTCTGCCTTGTCATGGGCGGAAAAGATGCCCTCGACAAAAATCCAGTCTGTGTTTTGCATATTCGTTTCCCGAGCTGCAAATTGGAAGGTTCGTGAGATCACTTGCGTAATCTGCCATGAATGTCGGAGCGACTTTCTCCGAGTCAAAGCAGCGGTGCCAAATTCGGGTAATGCCAGGGCCGACCAACATCGCCCCATGCCACGCAGTTCAGCTAGCTGCAGCTTGGACGACACACAGAAGCCTTCTTTGTCGGCTGCGTCGTACACGACATGTCATGGAAGGGCATCTTCTCTGAGGTGCTGCGGAACCTTTTGCCACAGACGAGTTCTGAGCGCCAGCGTGCCGAGGGGGCTCATCAAAGTAGTCGCCCGCGCGATGCGCTATAGAAACCTCTGACCGATCACGTGTAAGTGTTCGTCAGATTCTCACTGTTTCTGCTCTCTGTGAAGCTTTGACAGGCCACTCGTGCTGAGCCAGTGACCAGAGCGGAAGCAATGTGGGTGGCGATCAGCATCATAAACATTGTCACCATGGTCATATGGATTATCGTGAGCATCCGAATACCAGCAGGCGAGCCATTGCCTGCACTATCGTCGCTGCAGATACTGTCTTCTTACCTTCTTACCAACATAAGTTGAAGCCTGGCTGCTAGTCTCTGTATCTTGTCATGGCCCACTATATAACATGATTATGTGTGCAAGATTGCCAGCATGACCGTCAGGCAGGCACTACTAAGTTGTTTTGGAATTGCAGCAATACAAGGGTTGTCATTGATGTTAGAGGTGTTCTCCACACAGTTTTTGGCAGTTGTGTTCGAATTGGCTGGGCTTGTCAACGGCTTCCTGACCTCATGAAAGTTCTCAGCCGATCAATTACATTCACACTGAGCTTATAAGGGATGTTGCCGTGATTCGCTGCAAGTGCCAGTCTATGTTGTTCTGAGTCTATGTGTCTTACTTTCAAAGCCTACTGCGAAAAATCACGCATAGCATGTTTGCCGAACCGCGAAGACTCTCGAATCGTCGTGATTGACTCGGTATTGCTGTGATTGCTTCATATAAGATAATACGGCGCATCCTATCCTCATAGGGCCGACCTTTTGTGAAAATCCAAGCAGACTCGTGTGCAGTTGACATATGTGTTGACCGGTTGGGAAGTTGCAAGCTCGGCTGCCTGGCGCATTCCATGAAACCATGGCTCCTTCCTGAAGTGCTGTTTAATGCTGCTATTTTCTTCACAGCCATGCCAGTCCTCTGAACCTGGTCACTGTTTCATGCCTCGCACTGCGGATGGTGGCACAGCGCGACCCCAGCGCGGTGCCGCCGGAATCTGCGCACATGCATCGGTCAAAGATGGCTAGTGCAATTATGCGTCTGGGTTTGGCAGCCACATGCAACTACGTTGTCGCGTGTCTTCGCAAAGTTCCCAATGGTCGAATGTAGCAATGAGCGCACTTGCCTCTGCGACCGACTTCGGTTCACTTCTTAGCAATCCCTTCGGCAAATGTCGAAGTCTGTCATGACGGCATGGCTGCTGCCTCAAGCTGTCCGATGTTATCAAATGACCCACGGACCCTCACTGATCTGGGCAGCCAGGCGAGTAGCCAACAGATGCTAACGGGCATCTGCGGTGTGGCTTGATGGCCCAGCAGAAAAAAAGAAAGACGCCATCCTCTGCGGTGGGCTCCGTGCGGCGTTCTTGTACACCGGTTCTTCCTACCTACTGGCAACAGTTGAGAGTTATTTAGTTCCAGAGTACAGCACCACGGAAGTTCACCCGGGAAGATCATCTCCGTCATGGGTCATTCCTATAGTCTCCATTGTAGTCCCTTTTTTGGTTTAACCAAATATATGATAAGGATGTTTATAAGGTATCCCCAAAAAGGATAGAAACTCTTGATCCGCATCCTCGTCGAATTCACGGACTCCATTGAACCCTAAACCCTAAACCCCTAAACCCTAAACCCTAAACCCTAAACCCTAAACCCTAAACCCTATCCATTGGTTTAGGCCGGCGGGGAATGACAGATTTCGGACCCCCAAGGCCGAAGAGGTAGCCTACCCTAAGGGCCCATGGTACCCAAATACTAGATAGTTTAGGGGTCCCTTCAGGGTTCCTTTATTTAGGGTTTAGGGTTTAGGGTTCTATAAGGGTACCATAAGGGCTTAGGGAGAGGTAACCTATCGATACCGGCCAGCGGCTCTTCTGCCTTAAACCCTATAAACCCTACCTTAACCTACCAGAACCTACTTTTTTGTAGGGTCCCTATAAATCCCCATATTAGGGTTTATTATAAGAACCTACAAAAAAGGTGTGTTATGGTAGGTTAAGATAAACCCCTGAACCCTAAACCC